GCATTGAGACAATGTAATGTTGTGATAATGCGCTATATAAATAAAATTGAATTGAATTAATCCCAACTGGGGTCGCAGGGGGAACCGGAGCCTATCCCAGGAACAAGGGGCACAGGCAGGAACCAACCCATCGCAGGGCACAGAACACACACATCCAATTTAGACTCGTCAATCAACCTGCCCAGCACACTTTCAGACCGTGGGAGGAAACCAGAGCCCCCAGCATAAACCCACACAAACACAGGGAGAGACTCCACACAGAAAGGACCTGGGACCTTCTTGCTGTGAGGCAGCAGCGCTAACCACGTGCCACCCTGTAGCTCATCTCAAAGTGCATAATTTAAAAAAAAAAAAATTTTTGGCAGAATGTTTCAGAACATATTTTGAGTAAAAAGTTAATTTGTTACTATTATGATCTTCAAAGCTTCTTTCAGTAAAAAAGTAATGAAAAACAATGAACTGGGCATTCCTCAATTTTCACTTGCCTATTAGCTGGAGAGTAAGACTATGTATTACATTACCCTGAAATTGTATATTACCTTTGTTGCGTTCATTAGATTAAGTGTATTCCAGCTGGAGTCTCTCTTAAGGCATAGAGTACATTACCTCAGGAACAGTCTGTTTCAGGTTTACTATTTCATAATAGTTACTCTTGACATTTATAAAAGCCTTCAGGAAGCAATAACGAAATTAACGATCCTGCTTGGTTGGCTGAGAGGATGGAGGTCCAGAGGCCAGTCAAACTTTCCGATTCTCATCAAATAATTTAATTCATGTAGGGACATGACAAGTTAAGTATTTAACTAGAGTGACCACATTTTCAAAGCACCCAAACAGGACACTTGTGTAGCTGCTGTCTGTACATGTGTTATCTCATGTGCACACATAGCGCCCTTCCTCAGTCAGTTAATGACTGCTTTGTCTCATCCTCCTCATCATCATCATTATCAGGAAGGGATCAGGGGAATAATCAGTTACACAAATAAACACATATTCTACATCAAATCACTATACTTTTAAAAAATTGAATTCTATAATTTATGATAATTTGTAATGTTCCTTTAAACATCTCAGTGCAATTAGTAGTGCATTAACATTCACTGTTGCTTTTTTAAGAAACTTAAAAAAGAAATGTATGCGCATTGTATAAATACTGACTATGGACAAACTAAGGCTATTCAATAGTGTACAAACATTGAATTCTATAATTTATGATAATTTGTAATGTTCCTTTAAACATCTCAGTGCAATTAGTAGTGCATTAACATTCACTGTTGCTTTTTTAAGAAACTTAAAAAAGAAATGTATGCGCATTGTATAAATACTGACTATGGACAAACTAAGGCTATTCAATAGTGTACAAACATTCACTATTGCTTTCTGGACAAATCCAGTGCATTCAGTTTGTTTCTAAAGGTCTATATCCTACTGTAAGGTTCATATGTATCCACCCAGTGTTCAGCTGGGGTACATGCACTCTGGCAACTTCTCCTCTGCATCCTTCCTGACGCAAGTTGTCCTATCAAAGAGCTCCTAGTCACTGATCTGGCACTGGACCTCTGAGGTCAGATACTTCATTGAAATTCAGAAAAATATTTGGTACATATTAGTTCATTACCATCATTTCAGCTGTTACCATTTCAAGTCTATAATGCCAAACATTTCATTCAGCTGAAACACATTTTACAGGATTCTTTATTCTGTCACCCAACATAAATATCTTTTGTGTCTTTCTGTTACAGCTAAGAAAAATAACTGTATTGATTGGTTTACTTACCATTGTTCATAAGGCAAGTACTGCACAAGGACATAGATTCTCCTTGTGTATTCATAATTAAACCAAAAGACACTGTGTTAAAAACAGTGTTCATTACCTCCTGCCATTGGGCCATACTCACAAGCAGTGTGCAAAGCACTGACCCCCAACTCACCGGTCATAAAAGCTACACATCTCATCTATGGACCTACTGCTTTTGTGGGTCATCTAAGGTGGTCAGGATGCTTTTTTCCTGATATAAAACAATTTAAATTAGTGTTATTATTTTATGCATATTTCTAAAATGCAAATAATAATGGTGTGGTACAGACCATTAGGACAAAGAAACCTTCAGTCCAATGAAGCATGCAGTCCTCTCAATCAGCTTCTCCTGCAGGCTGTTCAAGAGGAATACTAAGTAAACTATGGTGGATTTCTGTTTGTCAAGCTCCTCCATGCATTCATTGACCATTGTCAGTCGATTGTGCAAAATCCATTGGTAATAAGACTCTAACATATGAACTCTAACACAGAACGTCCTGATTATGCCACATGTGCAGTGCATTGACCTGAAGCGCTGCTTGTGTTTCGCAGTACGGTGAGCTACAGTGCCCTTCGAGTGGCCCGTTTTAGCTCCCTCTCACCGTCAGAGTGCCAAAGGAAATACTGAACTGGTTCCGTTCACAGTCCTCAGCCATCTTTTGTGCTTGGAAGTGCACAGGTGGTCCTCAATGTCTTACTGTCCTCCGTGTACAATAGAATAAATGCTTTTGTGATGAGTGCATAAAGCTTTAGTCAATCATTCAGTATTGGTTTGAGAAAAGAAAATGTTTGCTGCAGTCCCTGATTTAAAAGCATATTTCCTCTTTGTCATGGTTAATTTGTCAGATTCACAGCATGGATTAATATAATTTCCTTCGTATATTTTTTCCTTCGCAGATAGAAACACCTTAAAGCTACGTCCACACCTCTGGCTGACAGCTGTCATTCACAGAGATATGAAGCAAGAGGGTCTTTGTTTTCCTGAGCATCTGCCTATTTTTCCCAAACTATTTCATGTAAACTTGTTCACAAGCTTTAAATGTACTGAGTACTGAACACCTGCCCCTCAAAAAGTTTTCAGACACTGCTCAGGGATCGTCAGCTTCTGACCTGTGACGTGTCCTACACAGTGATACACTGGTTTTAATGGACTGACATCTTCTCCACCCATAAACAATCTTAGTGATTTGTGTGCCACCCTTATAACCATGTTCACGTAGTATCACCTATTTTACCCCTTTGCACTTGAACACATATAAATTTGAATAAATAAATAGGTATAGCTACCATTGTATATATGTTCTCATGGTATACCAGAAGAATCTGGAAAATTAGTGTAACCAGTGTGTCCTACCTTTCAGAGATTCTTCTTTCTTTGTTTGACAACCCCCCCCCCCTTTCTTCCAACATTCCTTTGTGGTCCTTATCTGATCTTGGTGGTCCGTTAGCAAGTTTCTGTGTTCTACCATACTATATACTATACTGCTCCAAACGCCATGCCTTCCTGAGTGTCATCATCCCATCCGCTCATCAGCTCTGCAACCAACTGCCAAGAACCCCCCCCCCCTGCTCTGCAACCAAGTAAACCAACTTCCTTTCATTCTAACAACCTAAGCTGTGCTGTTAACCCTACTATATGACTTTAGGGTCGTGTTTCCACAAACTGGGCTTGCTTTGCAGAACAGTATTTCCTTTTAAAGTTACTCAATTAAATCCGGTCATTGCATTTCCACAATTACATTGTTTGTTTCTATTCCGTTATTTTGTGTTTGTTGTTTGTCTTAAGTGTAATGTTTGTCTTATGTTAGTTGTAGTGTGTTAGGAATAAATGCATGTCTTTTACACAATTTCAGCCTCCCTTCATTGAGTTCTCACAATAGTCCCTGCCTCTGTGCGATCTTGCTACATGCTGTGAAACCTCAAACTGGCCTGAAATATCGCGAGACTTTCTCTCATCAGCTGTGAGGAGAGCTTCGCTACCGATCGTTTACACTACCTGGTGATGCAGCTCGCTGGACGAGCCTTCTAACCCAGGTTACTAAGCGATATTGGTAATTAGTGAATCCCATTTAAGTCTCACATTAACAGACTCACTGGGATACCGCAATTGAGTTTGGTGGAGCCGACCATTCGGCATGACAATTGGTTGAGCACGGGACAGTGCTCATTAGAATCAAAACTCACACGCGTAAATATGCCACTTTCGAGCGCAAAATCAAAACTCACACGCGTAAATATGCCACTTGCAAACGCAAAGTCAAAACTCACACGCGTAAATATGCCACTCGCGAGCGCAAAGTCAAAACTCACACGCATAAATATGCCACTTGCAAACGCAAAGTCAAAACTCACACACGTAAATATGCCACTCGCGAGCGCAAAGTCAAAACTCACACGCATAAATATGCCACTTGCAAACGCAAAGTCAAAACTCACACACGTAAATATGCCACTCGCGAGCGCAAAGTCAAAACTCACACGCGTAAATATGCCACTCACGAGCGCAAAGTCAAAACTCACACACGTAAATATGCCACTCGTGAGCGCAAAGTCAAAACTCCCACACGTAAATATGCCACTCGCGAGCGCAAAAGTGAAACTCGCGAGCACAGGACGAAGAGCTGCATGCGCATTCATCATAATATCTTTCGGCCGCTCTGCCCTTGAAGAAAATTTCTGCGCTCACGTTCTGCCAGGGGAAGGTTTTGACAGTTTGGGGGCGGAGTCATGCCATCTCTGACAGCGAATGCTATTGCCGGATGGCTCCTGGCTTTGTGATTGGATGTAAGCTTTCCAGGA